CACGGGCTGTGAGAATGGGCTTGAGGCACAGTAGCGTGGGCAGTGAGAATGGACCTAAGGCGCAGTGGCACGGGTCGTGAGAAAAATGTTCGGTCACGCATGCGAATTGAGTGTGATTGAATTGGCTGGTTGAATGTGTGATTGAATTGGTTGGATTGATTGAGTGCAAGTGTGGTTGGTGTTTGAGTGATTGTGATATGTTATTGAGTTATTATTATTGCATTATTACGTTTTGACTAACGTACAGAGTTGGTATACGTTCTGATGGCAAAGGTAAGTACAATGATGTGAGCTCGTTATGTTGTTGGCTAGATTGCATGTATGACTTGTCTGGGTACGCATTGGCCTATGTGGGGTTTAGGGTGTTGCTTATTGAGACTCGTTTTCATGGTTATTATATAACCATTTCAGGCCCTCAACCTCGACCATGAATTGTCCGTCACAGCGTTTTGGGATCCCGAGGAAGGGCCGATGGAGCAAGACTCAAAGAGAAGCCCATGGAGTTGGTGGACCTTCTTGTATAGCTAGGCTAGTCTACCTGCCAGCTGTTCCCTTTTTATGATTATGGTGGATCTAACCCTAGGAGCCTAATGCCTGAATTGTACGACTGAATGTTGTAAGTGACGGTCTTCTATTTTTAGGTTGTTATTGGTTTGCGTTATTGTTACCCCTCTGTCATATTTTATTGTTTGAGTTGTTTTAAATTCGCTTCCGCTTGCATACTCGTGTGAGTGTTTCTTTTGGGTCGGCGACGCTTCCTGAGACGTCGCGTTCAATACGACCAGCGAAGGGGTGTCGCGAGTCCGTTGGGGTTTGGGGTGTGACAAAAACACTTACTTGCTTTAGCCAATTATCATCTTTGAATTGAGCAATATGGATAAAGCCATACAAATTGAAGACTAGGCTTTCCTCTCTTTCTCCTACCTTAGACGGTCTTGATGGATAAACCAATAGGTATACGAAATTAAGAGGGGAATAGAAACCATGACCTATTTATGAAGCAAATTTTAATAGACCTGCCCATTACAGATTACTGTTAAAACACCGGTCTTCACTAATTGGCCAACCATATTATTACCGTAACCGAGATATACTAAGCACCATATAGTATGAACACATAACCATAATTGGGCAAGATAACATTCTCATATATTTTATAAATATTATAACAGAGTATTTTTCACGGACCAATATATTATGCAATTAATGTTAGTCCGAATTTATAGAAATTTCCAATACATTATGGTCCAAATTACCATCTTTCTATTTGTTTTAGACTATGGGTCTTTGAGACAAATTATTAGAAATTTTAAAATGCTTGAATAGATTTAGTTATGGTATAATCAGGACTGGCTAGTAAGAACTCAAAATTCGACATTTTATAATAGGAAGAAAAAAGGCCTCTCGTTCAAGATTAAACAATACTAAAAGCACACTGAGGGAAGAAGCAATTGCCAATTGCCTCTTGACCGAGCAAAACATTGAGATTTTTATGTACTCTTGGAGCACCACGTGACTATCGTAACGGATCACCACGTCACCGATCAAATCATTGAGGTTTTCCCACAATTATATGCTAGGCAAAGTCAACAACGATCGCGACATTAACCGAATCTACAATATTATAAATTCAAGTATTTATGACATAATCGGTACAATCAGGAAGCTTAAATCCAATCAATGCATTCTTTGCCAGCGAACCCATGCGAATTATTGTCCTCTTCTATCATCATTAGGGATCACGCGTGATATGGTCTAGAACTCTGGTGCTCAGACTAGACCTGTTAAACGGGTAGGTCGGATTGGGTCATAAATGGTTCGACCCAAATTGACCCATTAACCCGTTTATGACCCATTTATTCGTAGTGTAAATATCCCGACCCATACCTGATCTGACCCGACCCATACCCAACCCATACCCGATCCGACCCATATTGCTAAAACACTTTTATATTTAACCTAATATAGGAATACTTGTTTCTTATAATTTTTTTTAAAATTGAGATTCTGTTTGTTTCGCGAAAAATGCGACATTTCTAGAAAATATTTTCCATAAAGTTATTATCCAAGAAAATAAAAAAATTTCTGATGTTTGGCTGAAACCTGAAAATAAACTAGAAAATATTTTTCGATATTTGGTATATAAAATCTAATTTGATTTTACTTTGTGCATTCATTTTAATAATATTAATATTTTTTTATTTTTTAAATCGAATTTTTAATTATTTTTTATTTTTATTTTTTTCTTTTTCCTTTATTTTTGGCCGATCGCCGGCTGCCGTGGCCGGTGACCGACCACAGGCGAGGACGAGCTCGCCGGAGGCCGGCGAAGCTCGTTCTCACCGATCTGGCGAGGCTCCAGCTCACCCGATTCCAGCGAGCCGAGCCTTGCCAACCTCGGGCGAGGCTCCACCTCGCCAGATCTGGCAAGGTCGAGCTCGCTGGAATCGGGCGAGCTCGAGGCTCGCCAGATTAGCGAGGCCGAGGCCTCGCCCAAGGCCGGCGAGCTCGAGCTTCGCTGACCTCCGGCGAGGTCGTCCCGCCCCGGTGGGCGATCGCCGTGGCCAACCACAGGCCGAAAAAAAAAGAAAAAGAAAGAAAAGAAAAGAAAAAAGAAAAAAATAAAAGAAAAAGAGAAAAAAATAAAAATAATTAAATTTCGATTTTTATTAAAAAAAAATTATAAAGAGGGAGAGAGTGTGTGGATGGGTCTAGTGGGTTGGGTTGAAATTGGGTTCCAAGCTCAATCCATTTAGACCCATTTATTTTTAAGCTTTAAAGTTTAAAACCCATTTAAAATTGACTCTTTAAAATTAAAGTGATCCATATATGACCCATTTATTTTTAAATGGGTCATATATGAGTTTAAGACTCATTTTGACACATCTAGCTCAGACACATTCCAAGAAAATTATGATAAAATAAACATGATAGTGTACGTTAAAGTTGTGTTTTTGAAAGGTTTCGGGAGGTTAGCATTACTTATTAATATCAAATTGAAGGAGTTGCAAGATTCGCAAAACAATTGAAAAAGTGATGGTAGAAGCCACCCCCCAAACAGACCCACATCAGCTGCACATATACATGTGCCTAGATTATAACTCCTTTCCGCGAAAGGGCTACAACTCCCACTCTAAGAAAGAAAAAAAAGGATTATTGTGAGAGCACCCACATGACTAGTTTTTTGTTCGCATAGAATTTACATTTTCTTATTTTCTTAATTAGTTCTTCAATTAGTCACTTAACTAATAATTCAAGAGACACTCATAAACATTCCTTAACGAACTGTAGTTGTGCATCGGTAGGAGGAACAAAATTATTAATTAAAAATGAAATTCATTGTTTCTCTATATTTGTTGACCACTAACCATGCGAAATGAGTTTTTGTATCGTCTATCATCTATGTCAAATGAAGCTTCTTATATCCATTTATTTGCAAATTCACGCATCCCACTTCTTATATTCTTTTGAACAAAATTCAACTTGTGCAAAGTAGCTTGCTACGATTCTCTTTTCTCGTGAGTTTTGTTTGCATACTTCTTTTCCTTCAATTCCTTTTCACACCATTCATTCCTTCTATAGGTGTCCCAGATGATATCGCAATTTGCACAGCTTGGGATTTTCCAGTACTACTAGGTAAGCCGCAATGATTTGTTCTTAACATTAATACACAAGAAACTTATTCTAACCTAGCAAAATTTTCTTCAGTGCTTTTCTGTGTAGCGAAATTCGTAATCGGGGTGCCATTTGTTTCGATATTTCTAATCTACAAGTACAAAAGAAGGCACTTAGCAATGGACAAGAACATCGAGGAGTTTTTGCAAACTCATAACAACTTCTTGCCCATAAGGTACTCTTACTCGAATATAAAAAAGATCACCAGAAACTTTAAATACAAACTAGGTGAGGGGGGATATGGTTCCGTGTACAAAGGAATGCTCAAAAGCGGCAACGAAGTGGCCATCAAGATCTTAAAGAAGTGCAAGGCCAATGGCCAAGATTTTATTAGTGAAGTGGCTACTATTGGAAGAATTCACCATGTTAATGTTGTGTAACTAATTGGTTTTTGCTTTGAAGGCTCGAAACAAGCTCTTGTGTATGATCTCATGTCAAATGGATCTTTGGATAAGCACATTTTCAGTGAGGAAGATGACAAGTTTCTTGATTACAAGAAAACATATGAGATCGCTCTTGGGGTGGCAAGGGGGATCAAATACTTACATCAGGGTTGTGACATGCAAATACTGCACTTTGATATCAAGCCTCATAACATTCTTTTAGATAAGAATTTCACTCCAAAAGTTTCTGACTTTGGACTAGCGAAACTTTATCTCACGGATCATAGCATAGTTTCATTGACTGCTGCAAGAGGAACCTTGGGATATATGGCGCCTGAGTTGCTTTACAAAAGCATTGGCGGTGTATCTTATAAAGCGGATGTATACAGCTTCGGGATGATGCTCATGGAATTGGCAGGTAGAAGGAAGAATATAAATGCAAATGCAGAACACTCAAGCCAAATTTATTTTCCTTTGTGGGTATACGACCAAGTCAGTGAAGGTACTAGTGTTGAAATGGAAGAAGTTGTAGAAGAGGAAAGGAAGGTGATAAAAAAGATGATAATAGTTGCACTTTGGTGTATACAATTAAACCCTGATCATCGTCCTCCAATGAGCAAACTCCTAGAAATGCTTGAAGGAGATATTGGTAAACTTCAAATGCCTCCAAAACCACTTACTTACCCATCGGATGTGTCAAATAACAATGACATAACCGAGATGGAACTGCAAACATTCTCAACTTCTTCAAGCGCTTCGATAATTTCAGCTAATTTTCCTTTTAGAGATAGCAATGATGTCTAGAGAAGCATGCACAATTTGAATGGAAAAGTTTTGTGTAATTGCCCACAATCTAGTATTATGTTGGGAGGGACTTGAGCTAGTCTAGCTCGATACTAATTAATTACTTTTGAGATTGTCTTCTTGTGGCTCTTAGCTTAATGTTGTGTTACTGTATTTCATATAGTTTTACTCTCTTGCATTCTCCTTCAAAAGGATAAAAAAAATTTGTAAGATAGCAAGGACAAAAACAGAGGAGAAGGCGACGGACATCATGAACTTTCCTCCCTCATTACGAGATTTTGGGTAATGACAATGAAAAAGCTGGCAATAACCCGTGATCTTGCTCCTTAAATTGCTACTACCAACATACGATTTCTTGATATCAACAACCGATTTTGACTTGTGAATTCATTTTCAAAGAAAATATACATGTATACATTTTACAAAATAGACAAATCTGTCTATGCAAGAAATAACTTTTATCAAAATGGGAAAGATTAAGATCTTAGATGAAACAATTCAATGAAGTTTATATTATAAGAACTTATATGTTGTTTTAAAGTTAACATGAAATTGCTGATGAGCAACAAGATTGAAAAATATCAATTTCCTCTTATATCACTCGATTACGGCAATTTTTTTTTTGGGTCAAAAACTAGTATATTTATTTAATTATAAGAAGTTGGAGGATACATTCCATGGGTTTCAGAACACAGTAAATCCCAAAAGACCATGAGGAGGATAAAGAACCCAATTACTCGGTAAGCTATTTCTCCTTTGGGCTTTAGCGATCCAATCAACCACCCTATTGGCTTCTCCACTGATATGGGCCAAATTTAGCGTCAAGTGGGGCTTGCGCAGCTGTTGGGCCTCGCTGGTAAGCAGATGGAGCTCCCAACTGATCTGTCCTTGATCTGCGATTCGACTTATCAGATCCAAGTGATCCGTTTCAATCTCCAGCTCTTCTCCCGATCGAACGAGAAAGTACTTTAGGCTTTGTACCAAGGCTGTCGCTTCTGTCATTGCCGTCGATGAAGCTTTGATCGATCGACCGAACCCGTCCACCAGACGCCCATTGTGGTCTCTACAGATAGCAGCAATAGCTCCTTCGCTCGTTCCTTCCAGATAAGCACCGTCTATGTTGATTTTTAGTTTTCCTCTCTCCGGTGGTCGACACTGCTGGGAAGGAATTGCTGATAAAGCTTCTTCTTGTTTCTTCCCAGGAAGCCATCTTGTGCAATTTCGAAGTAACGAGTGAGCATTCTCCACCGTACGCTCGGGATCTGGTTTCAGTGACCGAAAAATGCCGTTGTTTCTGGCTTTCCAAATCTGCCAGAGGGCGTTCGCCAACAACTCGAGAGGAATGCAGGGATGTTTGAATTTGGCAAGCCGTTCATCAAATCTTGATAGTCCATGAGAGGATATGTGTATTTGCAGGGAAGGATGATCCCATACCTTCTTCGTCGAGGGGCACAGGAGGAGGATATGCTCCACAGTCTCTGGGCTTTGCTTGCAGATGCTACAAATTGGATCAGGTATGATTTTCCTCCTATATAAGTTTTCCCTGGTAGCAACTAGCAAGAGCATTTTGACACGCACTCCACAGAAATTTTTTTTAATTTTAGGCATTGTGTGGGACTGCCAGATCTTCATCCATAGGGATCGAGGAGTTTGATAGGATGATGAGGCTAGTGTTGGATTGAATATCGCGGATTCCTCTCTGATTTTGTTGTAAGCACTCTTCACCGTATAATTCCCGGTTTTGGAATTAGTCCACACCATTCTATCTTTTTTGTCCTACGAGCTCAATGGGACTACAGAGATATCGGCCATAATGTCAGGGTCGAAGAGGTCATATAGCTGTTGTTCCTTCCATTTTACTGCTCTCTTGTTGATCAAATCAGCCACCATTCTAGGATCATTTTTTATTTGCCGGTCCCCCGATCAATCCCCTTTTTAACCGCCTATCCTCCCTGATTCTGATACTCTCTCCATTCCCTACCACCCATTGGATCGAAGGACTAATGGTTTCTCTACCCATTAAGATGCTTTGCTAGCCCCACGACGGTCTACTCCCTTTGCTTGCATGCCAAAAGTCTCCTTCAAGAAAATATAATCCTTTAAGAACCTTGCTCCAAAGAGAGGAAGGATTTTGAAATATCCTCCATGCCTGTTTTCCCAACATAGCCTTGTTAAAAGAAATCAAATCCCGAAAACCAAGGCCTCCATTATCTTTTCTGAATTTCAGAATTTCCCATCTCTTCCAATGCATACCAGCCTGGTCGCTGCCATTTTCCCACCAAAAGGCTGCCACTTTCTTCTCAATCGCTTTACAAATGGATACTGGTATCTTGAAGATCGACATAGCATATTGAGGAATGGCTTGCACCACTGCTTTAATTAAAATCTCCTTTCCCGCTTTGGAAATCAACTTTTCCTTCCATCCTTCAAGCTTCATAATAACCCTTGCAGTGATCCAAGCAAACATTTGCTTTTTCGTTTCTCCCCAATCAGATGGGATGCCCAAATATTTGCTGATTTTCTCAATTTCTGGAACTCGCAATTCGTATGACATATTCCTTTTTAAACTCCATGGACACTCCCTGCTGAAAAATACCCCTGATTTGTTTCTATTAATTGCTTGGCCTGAAGCATAGCAATATTGATTCAAGATAGCTGAAATGTTTTGGCATTCTCTAATGCTTCCTTCTAAGAAGAAAATCGAATCATCCGCAAACAAAAGGTGGGATAAAGTGGGGCAGGATCTATTCATCTGGATCCCTTGAATACTCCCATTCTCCAAAGCACGTTTCAGCATGAACGATAGACCATTCGCTACTAGAATAAACAAGTATGGGATAGTGGATCGCCTTGGCGAATGCCTCGCGAAGGTTGGAAATAAGGCTGGGGCTCTCCATTGATTTTGACACTAAAAGTAACTGATGAAACACATTGCATAATCCAATTCACCCATTTTGAGCAGAATCCCATTTTCAACATACTAGCCTCCAAAAAATCCCATTCCACTCTATCGTAAGCCTTTTGCATATCCAGTTTTAGAAGCGCCTGAAATTTCTTCTTTCTTTTTCGTACTCTCAACTGGTGGAGCACCTCTTGGACGATTAGGATATTGTCTTGAACCTGTCGTCCACATACGAAGGCACTCTGTTCTTTTGAAATCAACTCCGGGAGCCACAGCTTGAGTCTATTTGCCATGACTTTAGAAATGATTTTATAGGCAAAGTTACATAAACTGATAGGTCGAAACTGCTCTAGTTTTTCGGGGTTTGGGACTTCTATGATCAGGGTAATATGTGTTCTATTAAGCTCAGGGTCGAGGTACCCATATGTAAAGAAATTCTGTATCTTCTTAAACATATCGAGCTAGACATCTTCCCAATGACGTTGAAAGAATTGTCCATTCAAACCATCTGGCCCCGGTGCTTTGGTGGAACCTAGCTGGTGAACCGCCATCTTCACTTCTTCCAAGGATAAGTCTGCTATTAAACTGTGGTTTTTCCTCCCCGACTAAACATGGATAGTTTTCCAAGACTGGTTGAAAGTTTCGAGAGCCGCAAGAACTGTAAAGGCTTTGGAAAAAACTCAGTCATTTGCTTCAAATGGTTGCTGTCCCACACCCATTCATTACTGGAGTTTTTTAACATCGTTATCCTATTTCTTTGTCTCCTTTGAATCATTGTTGCATGGAAGTATTTTGTATTTTTATCCCCCCACTTTAACCAGTTTATTCTCGATCTCATTCCCCACTACATCTCCTCTTGTCGCCAAAGTTTTTCAATCTCCCCATTTAGAGAAGCAATTCGCTCTCTTTCACCACCCAAACCTAGGTTACTATTAATGGACATGAGTTCATTTTTCAAGGAGTTTATCTTCCAACGAGCATTGGTGAACTTTTTCCTACTCCATTTTTCCAACCCCCTTGCATTGTTAATTTTTCCGGCAAATCAGCCTTAGAAGAATGCCAAACATCTCTAATAATATGCCCACATTCAGCATCTTCTAGCCAAAAGGCTTCAAATCTGATTTCTCTTTTACTCTTGACTAAATCTGGGAATAAAGATATCATAATGGGGCTATGATCCGAGCCTAAGGCCGGTAATGCTATAACTTCAGCCCTTGGGAAAGTAATCCTCCACTCTATAGTACAAACTGCTCGATCTAGTTTTTCCTTAACATATGCACTCCCCTCTCTATTGTTGGTCCATGTGAACGCACACCCTTTACTCTCCAAATCCATCAAGTAACAAGCATCAAGACAATCCCTGAACGCTTGAATTCTGTAGTTTTCAGCCATACGCAAGCCAACCTTTTCCCAGTAATAAAGTACTTCATTAAAGTCTCCAACACAAACCCAAGGGAGTTGATTCGCTATGCTGATTTGATACAGTTCAGCCCATAGTTGTAGCCGAGAGTGGAAGTCATTTGGAGCATCGACAAAAGTGATTCGCATTCTCTGTTTGCTTTCTGCAATCTCACATACAAGATTCACTAGATGCCTGGAGTATGAATCTATTGTGATCGACATAGTTTCATTCCAAAACAAAGCCAATCCCCCCGCTATGCCAACAGGATTCACTATAAAGCACTTTTGGAACTGCAGCCTTCGCTTCAAATGCTGTACAACTTCTTAATTTTTAGTTTCCATTAAAAACATTAAAGAGGGCCTCTCCTGAGTCATAAGAACTCTCAAGGCTTGATTTGTTAGGGGTGTGCCCAACCCCTTGTTGCACAGAATGTGCTCTCTGTTTTCAAGGAATGCTTTTGTTGCACAGAATGTGCTCTCTGTTGTTACAAAGAATGTGCTCTCAAATGTAGAAGAACAAGAGAAGATTGATCTGGAAATGCACTTTTTTACATTCTCAAAAAACGAGAAGAGTACATAGCTCTTTTAAAACAACGAAAACTGAATTGCACTAACTTAGTAACTGACAAAAACCACTACACCACTAACTAGCAACAAAATAGGAACTGAAAACAACAAACTCCTACTATCTTGTTGACTAAGTAAAACAAAAAACAACCAGCTAACAGACCAGAACAAAAATGACCGAAAATGGTCCTTAAGACATAACCAACATACTCCTCTTTGGCTTAAGGAGCAGAACACATTCCAGCCTTCTTCTTCAGTAACTCAAGTCTGCTTGCTTGCAGTGGCTTAGTAAACACATCAGCCACCTGATCTTCTGTCTTGCAATAGAGTAGCTTCACTTCACCTTCTTGTTGCACTTCCCTCAGATAGTAGAACTTGATCTTGAAATGCTTGGTTCTCCCGTGAAAGATAGGGTTTTGAGATATGGCTAGTGCAGCTTGGTTGTCCACAAGTATCTCGGTTGGTCCTTCAACTTCCATTTCCGGATCCCCGCATCAGCTTTCGCCATATTGCATGATTGGCTGCCGCAGAGTTGCTAGAAACTCAGCTTCGCAGATGGGTCGAGCAACCACTTCTTGTTTCTTTGAGCTCCGGTGAAACATCCGGATCCCAAAGTAAAACAAAAACCACTTGTACTCCTCATATCCTCGATCGAACCAGCCCAATCACGTCAGAAAGCCTTGCAACCTGCAATTGTCCACTTTAGTAAACTTGACACCAAATGACTGAGTGCCTTTCAAGTATCTAATCACTCTTTTTGCAGCTACCAAGTGTTCTTCACCAGCACAGCTTAGGAATCTTGAAAGCACACCTACTGCATACAGGATATCTAGTCTTGTTGTAGTTAGATACATCAAGCAACCGACTAAACTTCTGTAAAAACCTTCATCAGCAAGCTCAGCTCCTTCAGTCTTCTGCAGCTTCTCCTTTAGATTCATAGGAGTGTTCACACTTCTACATTCCTCCATCTCAAACCTCTTTAAGATCTCTCTTAGGTATCTTCTTTGACAGATGAATACCTCGCCTTTCCTCTGCTGCACCTCCATTCCCAAAAAGGACATTAGTCCAAGATCAGTCATTTCAAACTGCTTCATCAGCCCTCTCTTTAGTTCTGCAATCTGCTCTTCACAATCACCAGTAACCAAAAGATCATCAACATAAAAAGAGACAATAGTTACACCTTCCACACCCTTCTTCACATATAGAGTCACTTCACTCAAACTTTTTTTAAACCCAAGTTCTTGCAGATGCTTATCAATTTTACTATACCAGGCTCTTGGAGCCTGCTTCAAGCCATACAAGGCTTTCCTCAACTTGTACACGTAATCTTCCTTGCCTCTAACTACAAAGCCATCAGGCTGCTCAACATATATCTCCTCCACTTGCTCTCCATTCAGGAAGGCTGACTTCACATCCAGCTGAAATACTTGCCAGCCCTTTTGTGCAGCAACTGCTAGCAGCATTCTTATGGTATCCAACCTTGCCACTGGAGCAAAGGTTTCAGAGTAGTCTACCCCCCATACTTGCGCATAGCCTTTGACAACAAGTCTTGCTTTGTACTTATGTATTGAGCCATCAGGATTCAACTTTGTCCTGAATACCCACTTCATTCCAATCACCTTTCTGCTTCTGGGCCTCTCAACTAGATCCCATGTCTGGTTTTTTTCAATCATTCTGATTTCTTCTTCCATTGCAGCACACCATTGCACATCTTCACTTGCTTCCTTATAGCTAGCTGGTTCAAGCATAGCTGTATTGCATCTCTCATAGATTTCAGCAAGAGATCTAGTGCCTCTCGCAGGAACATGATCAATTAGATCCTCGACTTCCACTTCATTTGGTTCAACCTGCAATGGCACTACCTCCTCTTCAGCCTTGCCACCTTCCACAGACCAGTCCCACTTCTTATCTTCCATAAAACTCACATCTCTACACACCAAAACCTGGTTGCTAGCAGGATGATAAATTCTGTAAGCCTTAGATTGCAAACTATACCCTACAAAGATACATGCTTTTCCTCTTGGATCAAGCTTATCTCTCTTAACAGAAGGAACCAGTCAATAACAAATGCAGCCAAACACTTTCAGGTTACTCACCTTAGGCTTATATCCATGCCATGCTTCAAATGGTGTCTGTTTGTTGAGAGCTTTAGTGGGCAGTCTGTTCAGAAGGAAGACTGCAGTGTTGGCAGCCTCAACCCAGAACTTCTTAGGGAGTTCTTTCTCGTGTAGCATGCATCTGGCCATCTCCATGATACTTCTGTTCTTCCTTTCACTCACTCCATTTTGTTGTGGAGTGTATGGCACAGTGAGCTGGTGCTTGATCCCTGCATCATCACATATAGCCCTGAAACTGCCTGAGGTGTATTCTCCTCCATTGTCTGACCTAATTGTCTTGATATTACAGCCACTCTCCTTCTCTACTTCTCTTTTGAACCTCAAAAAAATCTCATTAACTTCAGCCTTATTCTTCATGAAGTACACCCAACACATTCTAGTGCAGTCATCTATGAAAGTGATGAGGTATTTGCTGCCGTTCAGTGATTCTTCTGGCATTGGACCACACACATCTATGTGGATTAGTTGCAGCTTTTCACTGGCCCTCCAATTTGACCTCTTGAAAGGAATCCTCACTTGCTTGCCTTGTAAACATGCTCTACAGCCAGTTACTTCCTTCTGCAACATAGGTAGCCCTACTGCCATTTCATTTTGCTGCAAGTATTGCAGCCCCTTGCTATGGAAATGACCCAGTCTTCTATGCCATAACTCCTCCTCATCTTGTATACTTTTCATGGCTTCAAAATTCTCATCAACTGGATCAAATGTAAAACACTTGTTCCTCATAGGAATCCTGAAAAGGATGTGACCATTCTCATCTCTTATGGCACACTCACTCTTCTCAAACACGACCTTCAACCCCTTCTCTACTAACTGACCCACACTCAGCAGGTTTTGATCTATCTTTGGCACAAACATAACCTCTGTGATAAGCTTGACACCACCAGGACCTTCAAGCACTACATCACCTTTGCCTTCTACTTCTATGCGTTCTCCATTGCCAATCCTGACTTTAGACTTCACAGATTTGTCTAAATTGCTAAATAATCCTTCATT